GATGAACTTTTCATTGCATATATTTATGCATTTTTTTGTGCATACCTGTTTGTATGTCAAGATAACTTCGACTTGAGAAATCGTGGAAATGACAATTTTGGGAACACCGTCTTCCATCACACAAGCAAGGCCAAAAATATAAAATCGCTCTTTAGGTGCTTGCATCTTCTGAGTTATCAGACGGGTACAAGTTCAAGCTAGTGTTTTGAACTGAAAGCCGACAAAGTTACAATCTTTTAAAGGTGTATTTAGTCGAAAATTTGTGTGCTGGCCTAGATCTCAGAAATTTCGAAGTAATTCTGTAATACAGTGGCAGGTTTTCGAGTTCTCACTGCGTAATGCTAAGTCACTGACTTAGTCGACATCCCGCTGTTTTTAGAGCTACAACTTCACCGTAGCTCCAGAAAAGGACAAGCTACGATTTGGATTTTGGTGTTTTACAATCGATAGTTCGATTCAGCAGAAGCCGTTGAACAGCACACGAAGAACAAAGCATGGGAACGAAATGGGGCACTTTTTGATCGAAATGAGGTGACTGATCATGAAAACACTAGAATAGTTCTGTTTCAGAAGAGCATATGGACTGTGATATGGAAGACTGTAGCAATCGCGGGACTTGCAGCGGAAACAAGAAATATTTCGCTTGTCTCTGTTTCAAGCCCTACTATGGTCGTCGATGCGAGTATGAGTATGTGGAGGTGGACCATGTCAATCTGCTTGCCCATATACCAAAAGGAAAAAGTGAGTTTCTTGCGTCAGCTAATCGTGTTCTTGAGCTTTTATCAATAAGAAAACGCATAAAAGATTCCTCTTAGTGCACTGTAAAGCTGGAAGGTTAACTGGGGTACTGAACTTGATTAGAGGTGTTGCATCAAATGCTTGCAGCTTGACTTCGTTTTTACAAGTTAGATGGGGCCACATTTACAGACGATGTGACCAGTGTTTTGTTCAGCTCGGGCATTGCTCGACGGTGCTTATGAGTATTGAACTTTACTATGTAAGTGTTATCTCAAGTAGATTCTTTTCCATGTGTCAATTGAGGGAGCGTTTCTCGTGCCGTGCTTCTTGCGAAAAGGCAACTCCTCACAGAGCTGTTTTTTTTTTTTTTTTTTT